GACAGCAATCTCTGTTCTATCAGACCGCGCGGTTCGTGCTTTAAATGGTACTTGCTGCCAGCTTGCTTTCCCTGTCTCTCTCCCTTTGAAGCAGACTGGACAGCTTCCTCAAGCTGGCGTTATCACTCCCTCTAACCACTCTTGGCAGGCAATCTAATTCCCCCTGAAAAGGTCACCGCCATTTTAACTGCCTTTCAATCACATTAAGCACGCTGCCGCTCGTGCTCAGAGCACTGCGCCCGCAGCTCTCCTGACTGAGGTGCGATCGATAAACTGACATCCCACCCCCCACCTCAGCTCCCCAGCCGCCCCTCGCCTCCTTCCCCTCTCCTGGACAAGCTGCCTTCCCGGAACGGACGGCGAGAGACCCAGCGACAAAATCCTCTCCTCAAATCCGAGGCAGCAGAAGGGAGCTGCTAACCTGGCATTTACTAATCTTTGTCCCATCTGTTAAGAAACAGAAGGGTGCAGGCATCCCCCCCGCCTTCCCTAGACCTACAGAGGCAGCGACTTCACAGGACAGTTTGCTTAGGCACCAGTCCAGACACCTTTGAAGCTGTGTTACAAAGAACAAGCCTCCCTCAAGCTTCCCTCAATGCAATCATTACCGTTATCTCTCCCCCCGTGCTGCTTTTTTTTTTGCAGTTACGAGTTATGTGTTCCACCCATCGATCCCTGTGTAAGACACTGTTTTAAGTCCTCTTGCCTTTTGACTGTGCTAAGCCGTTTAAGAGATGACAGCAGCTTCTATCAGTGTGAAGCTGATGTGATTCTTTTCAGATAAAGCACTTTTTTTCCACTTCCCCCCCTCCCTTCCCTTCTTTCAAGTAAGAGACATACACACAAAAAGAGACACTGAATCTTTCAAAGAAAAAAAAACCCTTTTGAACTTCCCTCAGGAATTCTTTAAAGGGATAACCTTACAGTGTAAACACTGAGGGTAACGTGCATCCATTCTGGAAAGGAACAGAAGAATTGCTACAAATATGTTGAGCATTAGAAAAAAAAAAAATCCATCAGAGAGGAAGCCACTTGATGCTTTCACTTGCGAAGCCTTGCTGGCATCCTAAACAGAGAAACTCATTAGAGATGGCATGATATAATCCCCTACAACAATGAGTTTTGGAGAGGGATGATTCAGAGATGTTGGGAGAGAGAGTTACTGAATGTTCAGGTATTTCAAGAGAAATTTTAGTCTTGTGACATTGTACTGAGACAGGGAGATATTTGATTACTGTATCTGTTTAGTTTTTCACTTCGAAGTACAAGCTTAATTTAAACAGAGCTTGGTACTTCATGCTGGTATTCTTCTGCACCCACCCCAAACAGAAACAAGAACTCTCCTACAAACCCCCCTACTTCAAGCAGGACTTCTGCTGAAACAAAGTGGTTCCAAACCCTATAAAGCTGCCAATCTTCATTTACACCCTGCATTCTTCCAGTTTTGGTAAGCAAATTAAGTGATAGCAAAAGATGCTTTAAGAAGCCAGGAGGAATGTTAGAAGTACCAAATATTTCCTGAGAGAAAGCCTTCACTAAACTCAACAATTTCAGAGACAACATACTGATCCCTGCACCTCTCAATTATGTCATATTCCTCCTTGGTGCCACTGCCTGTTCTTTCCACCTGCTGCCCGAGGTATGCCAAGCTGTGCCAGCCAAGGAGGTGTGCTTTGGCTCTGCTGCACTAGACCTCACTGGGGGTTTGCAGTTGTAACACCAACACAGAAGCCAGAATTCTTTGTCTTCTAAGACAGCCCCTCAGGTTAGAGGAACAAGTTTTCCCTGCAAGTGCTTTGGAAGCAGGAAAGTGTCACCCTAGGAACCATATAAGTGAGAGTTTTAGCCTGTGATTGCTCTTAAGTATGAGACCATCTTCCAGAAAATCTGAACAGGGCTGTTCATTTCCCTGACCTTTCTGTTTTTAAGAAGAAAAACCCCAAGATCTCTCAACCTTACTCCACCTGGGAATCTGTCATGCCCTTTCATAAAATTGGCAGAGTGTATTCCTCATGTTGAGAGTGACTTTGTCCATTAACCAAAAACGATAAAAAGAAGAAGCCAGGACCTGTGTTAAGTCCTGCACCCCCTTTGCCCAGCTGTGACATCTCCTCAGAGCAACACACCATTAAAACTGAAATTAATGAGACACATGGCCATCTATTTTCCCCTCTGGTTTTATGTATTTCCCCATGTCATCTCTTTAGACACTGGTGACATCCCTGTAGCCTGGCAAGGGCTGTCTGGCATTATAAAAGACCTTTGATTTCCACATCGCTGCAACTTCTCAGCAAAGGGAACAGAGCCAAATGCAAAGCCTCGGGTGATGGGGGTTAACGAGGGCCTTGCCAACTCCAGACAAAGCAGTTTTAAGCATTAGAAAGCATCTACAAAACGTTGTGCTGGGCTTCAGGGCTGTAAATTAAGAATTCTGTCCCTAAAATAAGGCAAGAGCCAACACTGGCAGAGAAAGAAGAAAGGCAGTCACCTTAAGATTACCTGAGAGTGCACACAGCAGGCCTGAGTGATGGAGACCTCTGAATGCCAGCAGTCAGAGACAAAATGAGAGCCACAAAAGACAGCATGAAAAGTGTGATTTGACTAAAAATAAATGCAATCAGCCACCTATGAGGGATCACTCCAGCTCTGCTTTGGCCTTCCAAATTTTGCAGCAACTTTTTGTGCAGAGTAGGTAGGTATCCTGCATACACTACCTGGTTATCCCAAAATATTAGGTAGAAAGTTGGTGGCAAAAAGGTTCCCCTGTTTAGGGAAGAGGACACTTCTCTAGAGAAGCATGGCAGCTGCTGAATTCAGCTGCCAGCAGAGGTGTGCTCCAGTGGAGGAAGGCCAGGTGCTAAGGACCTGCCAGCAGCTCAGGTGGAGCTTCTGCCCCTTCCTCAGCAGTGGCTCTGCCACAAAAAGCTGCACAGGGAGGATGTTCCTCACTGTAAATGCTACAGGGATGTTCCAGTGCTTGTGAGCTGATCTACAGACACCTTTTATCCAGCACCACAAACGGAAGCAGTCAAACCCAAAAGCCTTCCCACCAGGGTAATTATGGAGGGTTTTAGAACTGCATGTAGTTGTGCTCTACTTTTCTCCTGGTCTTTCAGTCTTTTCCTGGGTCTGCTCATGTAACTCCTGAAGGTGTCATGAAGGTCTCAAAAAGGAAAGAAGAGACAGATCCCATACTTCTGGATGAAAACAAGGCCATTTCTAAGTATGAACTACAGAACTATCTGTCCATGTATGTGTAGCCATCTGGCAGAGGTTACAGCACTGGCTGATGCTGGAACCTGTCTAACTTCTGGTGGAGGAAAGCAGGTGATCTACAGAACACAAAGTCACATTTGAAAATTCCTTAAAGGAATTTGAAAATTCCTTAAAATAATGAAGAAAATGCAGCAAAGAGCAAGTACTTTACATTTACACAGCCTAACCACATCAATTACACACATTTTGTCCATCTGAAGCCTCATATGAAAGAGGGTCTCCATATGACTGAAGCAATATGGAAGGTTCAGGTCACATTTCAGTGAGTTAACTCAAAAACAAGTGGGAACATTAAGGTGAAGACAGCACGATGTCCACACCAAGGGAAGGGGAAGATCATGCTCTCCTCAAATTCAGGTGGTATGGTGAGGGTGAAGGAAGAAACTACTCATGCACAAAAAATGGATGAAATGAACTAAGTAGCCTTTTCTAATCTGGACTAGCAGTGAAAACAATAAAGGCACACAGACATCCCAAGCTTTCCTGCGATGGACTGTAGTGTCTCTGCTACATAAACAAGAGTCCAAGACCTTGCATGATCTCATCAGGCCTCTACCTGGAATCATGTACAGACACAACTCTCCATGGAGTCACGAAAAAGTTAGCTTACAGACACAGGATGCAACAGTGTGAGTTTCCCTGGGTGTCCTTTAAAACCCAAAGAAGCTGCTCCTTCAAGTCTGTGCTCCTAATCATCTGCTCTGCTACAACCCAGATACAATTTAATTTCAGAGGAAGGCAAGAGCAGATCAGGAGGGTCTGGTTGTATCTGAGCACATGGCTGGCTTTTAAGTCCAACTCCCTTATGCAGCAGCTTTTCCCCTTGAGATATTTTAAATTAAAATCCAAGCTGATATAGGAAGAGATCACATCCCATCCTCTTTATTGAACGAAGGGAGCCAGCATTCCCCCTCTCATTAGGCATGCACTACGTGGATTGCTTGTGAGAGACTCTTCTGAGTGCCTGAGGTTCATGCCAACGAACAGTTTAGTAAATCCTCCTCTTTGAGGCCAAAGGGCTTAGTGTAAGAAAGGGGCCAGGTTTCTAGATAAAATTACATTCACCAATAAAGCTCACGAGAGGTCAAATTTTGCCATAACTCACTCCCCCTTCGGTAACTGATTTCCCCGTCACCGGGGAAGGAGTAAAAGAAGAAGGAAAAATAAAATGTGTTTGTCTGAGTGCCCTAAGGGCTTGTAGTGCTGGAGGTGCAGAGCAGGTTCCTGGATTCTCATTTATCAACCTTAAAAGGGATGGAGTGATAAATGCACAACTGGCCCTTTAATATTTTATGCAGGTGCTACAGCGACTTAGCTGTCACCTCCAATACATCACCAGAGGCTGATACACCAGCTTTCGTCACTCCAGGCTGGGAATTTTTACAATTTCATTTCTATTTCCCTCTCTTCACATATTTCCATGTATTTCTTACTACGTGTAAGATACAAAAGGCTATTTTCCCCAAATGATCTAGCCATTCCTACTCATTCCCTCCTCAGACACATTTCTTGAGGAAGAAATAAACGCCACGCTTTTGTTCAGGATTTGCACAAATTCTGACTCTCGTCATTCAAGAGAGACAGAAAACACTTTACCTTCTGGCAAAGGCTGATCTTTCCTCCCTTTCTGAGAGGCAAACCCCCACATCCCTCCCTTTAAAGACAGGTCATGATGAACTTCCACAGTAGAAAGGTTTACAAGCGCCCCCAAAGCAGCGGCGCACCTCGGAATCCTCCCTCCAGGAGGGTAGTGGCCCGTATCCTCTTCTGCCCGCACCACTCGTACTCTTCAAAGCGGTTCCCGTTCTCGTTCTCGATGTCCACAGAGTCATCCTCAGTCATGCATGAACCTTCTCTCTGCACAGGGTAAAGCAGGGGCAGAGTGTTGAGATGTACAAAGTAGTTCTTCGGGGTTAAACAGCTCATGGTGGGATGGAGAAGGAAAGCTGGGCCGTTCCCGGGACAGCTAAGTATGGAGAGGACAGCAGCATCTACTCCCGCCCCCGTTCCCAGTGACCTAAATCTAGAAGTAAATAGGTGCTGGAAGAAGTTGACAAGCTTAAGATCAAAACAAGTTGCAAGGTTCATAATTTTTACACATGGAAATTTAAGCTCTGGTTCCAATAACAATGCTGGTGTTCATTTCAAAATGTACTCCCCTGTCTTGGATGTGCAATTCCTCTCATGTAAACCATAGATTCCTTTGACCCCCAGCAGGAATGTTCTCCTATAGCATATCTTTGGGACATACTGATTAAAGACACCTCTCTTTACAATATGCACCTCTCAGGGCAGCAAGAATGAATTTGTTATCATCTCTACTGAGGGCTTTTCCTGAGAAACACAAACAGAAAGCCCTATGACACAACTGCCTCCCTCCCGTAGGGTTTGTTTGTCCTTCTTCCTTGCTGTCTTTAGGATAAACAGCAAGAGAATGGTTTAGTTTAAATGCACTTCTTGGAGTAAGATGGTCATGCAACGTTTACAAATTCCAGCCTGTTACAAAAGAACGCAACAAAAACTAATTCTAATGTTTTCAAAGGCACAGATCAGAAAGAACTCTTCTTGCTGTGCTACGTAGGAAGCTTGAGGTCCTACAAAAGGTTACATAAACTTCAATAGCACCACCTTTACAATCTATAACTTAGACTTCTGTCACAGCAGAAGGGTGCATAAAGTGAAAAAAGTTATTAATGCCACACAGCAGAAAAATCCAGAAGAATCCATCTTCCAAGACAAAGAGAAGTGACAACAAATCTTAGAAAGACAGTTAGCATTGCCTGCAAGCTCAGCAATGTTAGTTTTTGCCCCACATTAGGTCAACTGCAGACAAAGCTGGGAGTAGGGAGAAGGGAATGGCAGCTGGTGATCCTGCTGCGCCTCTACCTTTGCAAGGCATTGTTCCACATGCCTACTCATCTCCTCCTCGGATCCTGACAGAGGTCGGCTGCAGAGGGGACATACCTGCCCTTCGTCTTGCTTCCTCCGTTTCATTTTTCCAATCCGAGCTGCATGGAGAAACCAGGGAAAGAAAACAAACAAAAAAGGAAGACATGTCAAGTTTGTAGATCCGCTCTTCATTTGCTCAGCTCCAAATAATAAACCTTTGGCAGAGATGATAAGATTTCGCACCAGAAAATCCTGTTGCAACTCCCTGTTCTGACCTCTATAAGCAGTGCAGAGACTGTTACTTGGCATTTTTCAGATTAAATCTGTAACATGTGGACAAGTACTCCCTGATTTCAAAGAGGCAGCTAGGAGAGGGAACATCTGCTGCACATCCCCAGGTAAGTTATTAAAATGGTTAAATACTTGTTCTTGGAAGGCTGAAATTGTTTTCAAAGTTGAGTGATCAAGCCAGTGAATTCTGGTTTGGATTCTGCCTTCTAAGCCTGAGGCCCTTCCACTAACACATCTATTCCCTACAGGATAACGTAGCACCTGAAAGCCTTGGACAAGGTATGTAACAGTCACCTCCAGGACCACAGAGCCTCCTGTACACCCCGAAAAATTCCTTCCCGCAACACCACAAACAAGTAAGAGCACCATCTTACAAGCATAGCTTCTGACTCTCTGTTGTTTTATTTCATTAAAAAAGGGGGCTACACTGGGCACGCTCTGGGAAACAAACATGTTAGGAATCACAATGATTAGAAAAAGCAGCCAAGGTAGCCTGTTGCTTAATCCAATATCTGGTTAATTTGAGCCATCGTTTAATGTGATCAAAACATCTGGAACCAAATCATTTGCATTAAAAAGAACTTCTGTCTTTTATTATGATGGCTTTAGGCAGGTATTACTGAATAACTCAATCACTGGCTGCAGGAAAGTCACTGTTTAATTAATAAGGAAGGTCAAAATTCTGAATGAGAGACAAGGAAAAGCCCAAGGAAAGCCCATGTGATAATGAGAGATGACACCACCAAAAAGCTGCATTAGCCAGAAATCGTTACTGACATTGTGAGCACTGCAGCATGCTCTGAAAGCCTTCATGCCTCAACACTGTGGGATCAACAGCTCCCTGCAGCCAACGAGTCAGAGAAAGCTGCTGGAATGCCAGGATGAGAAGGACCAGTGTACAGGAAAGTTTCTGTCAACTGTTTTCTGAAGTGCATCATTTAAAGCACACACATCACCAAGTGATTTATAAAGTTCCAGCTGAACACATCAATACAGACCTGAAAGGCCTCTCACAAGGCTTTCTCATCGGCTTCCCTGGACACAGGACCCTCTGGGTTAGGATATACTTTCCCACAATCCAGAACTAGGAGTATTCACCATGCCCTATACTCTCTGACGCTTCAGCAGTAAGAAAGCTTCAAATTATTCCCTGGGCATTGCTTTTTCTCGCTGAGACAGAGATGTGGGAAAACTACCTGAAAATTCAACCTCCCCTCCTCACACGATGAAAAGGATTCTGCAAATGTGACATTCCTAGAATAAGGGACAGCAACTTGAGACCAAAACAAAAATGTTTTCAATATCTGGCACTTTGAACAACAGAGACTCTCAAGTTAACACACACAGCTTTCACCGTTTGTCTAAATTTTATTTGCTGATGCTCCACAACCTTCTCTCGTGTTGGGTACACCACACTGACAGCTCCCCAGCCCCCTACTGTAGTCAGAGTTAAGCCATGCTCTTTCTCTTTTGTACTTGAGCACACAAGAGACTTCTGAAGTTCTGGTTTGGTGCATGCCTGTATCCTCCAGCATGGCTCTTTTGTGTAAGTTAAGGATGTTCTTTCCTTGCTCCTTTCTAGCTCTGTAGAACCAGCACAAAATTAGGAAGAAGGCTGGAATCAGACACGACTTGACCATTGCCTAGCAAACTGACTGGAGAGAAACACAGGAACAAAGCCTTCTCTATCCTGACTGCAGACATGAATTTCTCTCACCTCATCATGTTTTCAACCAGGGAAACGTAGGGAAGGAACAGTTTAATTATGCTGGTAGGACTCCCCATGGTCAAACAATTCAGCTAAGTCAGTCTGCCTGGTGAATTTATTAGTATTTTTAACTTTTTTTATTGCCATCTTCCAGTTCATGCACTGTAGCAGTGACACAAGGAAGAAAACTTGTTTTAGGTCTTCTGCTGTTAAATTCCTGGGACCATTTTGCCAGAACAAGCACCTGATCTCTGCTGTTGAAATGTTAGTGTAGAGCTGGGAATAGAACCTCCCCCTGCTCCAGCTCCACACAGGACCCAGCAGCCAGCCCCTCTCCTGGCTCCTTTAGCTCCGCAGAGGAGCGTCCCTTTAAGCCGCGGCGCCACAAGTGAAAAAAGCCACCGAAAAAGAAAGAGGTGTTGAAAACAAATCCCCCTGCGTTAAAAACAAACCCCCCTGCCGTTTTCATTCCGTGGTCATTGGCAGCGGCAGCGTTGCGCCCACGCAGGCCAAGGGTGCCCCTGGTGACTGCGGGCCGGGAACGGGGAAAGCACATGGGAGCAGCGCTGTCCCTGCCCGACACGACACAGCCCGGCCATCACTTCCAATCAGCGCCGCGGCGACAGAGCGGCCCCAAAGGCAGGGGGTGATTGTGGCGCTGTCCCGAAGGGGAGCAGCTCAAAAGAACACGCGAGTGAGACCACAGGATTGTTAATTAGTGTTGATAGATGCGATCATTTCTAATTAGCTCACTAATCCCTCTCCCCCCCCCCCGTGCTCCTGTCGCAGGAGAATGGGAGAGGAAGGGAAGAAAAAAAAAAAGAAAAAAAGCCGTTCCCTCTCGTAATTCAGGAAGATAAAAATACAGACAGCAGAGGACTGGATGCACGAAGAGGACAGAACTCAGGGAAGGAGGCTTTGGCACAAGGCTGACCCATTCTTACCTCTGACTGAACAAAGACTCCATAGTTATTATTCCAACCTTCTGCCAGGAGGTGAGGAGTTCACTAATTTTTATTAGCATTAATAATTATTATTAGGCCATCAGAGGGCTTCCAGCACCTCTGAGGCCTCACTTTTAACAGATGTACATTACCCTACACACTGCTCCTGCTGCAAGTGCATGTTCTCCTTCAGATTACACAAAACCATCAGGCCAGGGAGTTTAAGTCACCATGGCAGATGAATGAGAAACTAGCTTATGGAGGTGAGCAAGAATTGGGACCCTCTGCAAGAGCCAGGATCTCACCTATGGTCTCTGCCTTACCTTAGGAGCTGTGCTGGCAAAGGGAGTTGCTCTTCCCTTCCCTAATATGGGACTATGCAAGGTGAGAGGGTGCTTGCACTAGAGAGGGAGCCAAACTGCACTCGACAAAGCCTCTACTGTGAGGGAACACTGGCCCCTGCCTTCCCACGGGTGTGGAGAGAAGGAGCCAGCCCACCACTGCTGCCTTATGGGCAGAAGAGTCTGAGGATCTTTTCTCACAGTGGGCTCTCCCCAGCAAGGCTAAACCTTTTTAATGCCTGAAGATCGTGTTACTCTCAAGCCCAGCACAACTTCCTGTGAGAAAAGCTAATGGATTTCAGTGTTCACTGGTACTCCCTCCCCAGGCAAAAATTCACCTTCAGGACAGGGCACTAATTACCTCAGAAGTGCTCTTACACAGCATCTAGCAGTGGACACTGCACCAACCTCTACTGCAGCATCAAAGGAGATGATTAAGTTACTAGGAATACCTCTTATGATTCCCTCCACCAGTTTGAGTGGTCCCCCGAGTCCTATGCAGACATCATTAGCAGCGCCTGCAATGGCAGGCCAATCAAATTAAGTGGAAACATTTTTGTCTCCTTTCCAGTGAAAATCATCCAGCTTTATTCCTCCCCCACCCATCAGCTACAAAAGCACACGACACGCTGGTGGTGGTTCAACAATAAACTGTGCACTGACCTCCTCCATGGAGGTCTGTTCAGAAAGACAGGCTTAGGGTCACCACCAAAATGGGAATCGGCTTCTCAAGGAAAGGAGCAAAAGGAGCTTTGTAAGGACCCATTTTTCAACTCACCTGAGAATGCCAATTTTGCAAATAGCCCTAAATTTGAATCAAAGATATTCAGGCACAAGAGCCAGCACCTGGTCTCTGCAAATCTACCAGAGAAGTCTTAAGGAGTGGTTATACCTATTTTTGTTGGGCCTATCACCAAAAACTTGTGTGGATGATCAACTTATCCAGAGCATTTGATCTAAGGGAACAAAGGCAGCAATGGCAGAGCACAAGAAGCCATCTCAAGAATAAGAAAAAGCAAGAAAACAGATGGTCAAGAAGGAATCTGTTTCAGACCTTATGTACAATTTGCTGCTCATCTGCCCAAGAGAGAACATTAAGGGCCAGATTCCCAAAAGGGTCTCAGTGGGGCTTTCAGATTTGCATGGCCAAAGTTCCACAGAGATGATTGTCAGCAACCTTCAATCTGACACTATTCTCTGAGGCTGGCACACACTTAACCTGCTGAATCCATGTTCTGATACACTAACCAAGAACTTTGTGCCTCTAATACTGAATGACTACTTAACCTGCTCTGCACTGCTAAACTCCATAAGCATCAATTTACAGGGTGGCTTAAAGTTTCCAGTGTGGCAACACTGGAAATAAGGTAAATGAAATAAATGCCTTCTTTATCACGTGGGTTCATCAGGAATCAGCACCTCATACTCCTGGGTTCACAAGGACACAATCTCTGGATAGTGAGTTTAGCACAGGTGAGAGGTGCAGGATTAACTCACTGAGGCTGACAGGGAAGTTGGGATACAAACACTCAACCAACAGCCTAAAAGAGAACATTAATCTCCTGCTCCAGAGCTTGAAAATGCATTTGCCTTACTTACAGCTCTATTTAAGTCATAGGTCTGACTTACAGAAATAAAATTCTGGCCAGTCAGGTACATGTAAACCATTTAACTATCAGGACCTAATCATGTTGCAGCCAGGCAAACAGCAGCTCACAGAAGACATTTCCCTCTCCACCTTCTTTCCTAGCTCCTTTTGCACATTCCCAAATGACTACAACAGCATAGAACACATAAAGGTCCAAACAAGACTCAGGCAAAAACAGCCCAGGAAGCCAAGATTTGGTTCAAGGACTATGTGGGAGAAGAGCAAACACTGTGGGCCCCTTTTTATGGGAGAAGTTTCCAAAGTGCTTCTAGAACTCAACTGATAGAAGCTTGACAGGAGATACCAAGATAAACTGGTTACAACAATATTGAAAAGTACATGTAAAACACAAAACCAAATTAAATAGTTCTTTGACAGACAAGCTGCATTTGATAAGTTTCTGCAGTGTGCCAATAAGAATGATAAACAAAAAGCCAGCTACCTTTGGACGAGTCCTACACAACTTCTGTTCATGTGAGCTAATTGGGACAAGGAAACCACTCTCACAGACTAAGCTATAAGGTTGTGTGATTGATCAGAAGCTCATTAAAACACAAGATATAGACAAATGAGCTTTTATTTTCCCCTAAAGCACTCCAATGTTCTCCATCTTGAGATGTTCAACAACTAACAATAATGTGGTAAAACTTACAAATACCACGGAATTATTTCAGTGCAAACAAACGAGGAGGATGAGTTCAGAGGTACAAATACAAAGCAGTATAACCTACTCAACCATCCAACTGAATACTGACCTAAAAACACAAGACTGGACCAGGCATCATCACTACAGGTATGTTCTGGAAACAGCAGTAATCAGTCACAAAAGGCTAAAGCCAGGAGGAACCAGTTCTGGTCTAGTTTTATCATCTCTGGGACCCAAAGCACTTCAGCCAAATTTCTGCATCTGGCTTCCTAACATCTGCACCTCGTACTGTCAGGGTGTACAAGGCATTATGTAAGTTAACCCAATGTCCTCATTTGGAATATGGCTCTAAGTTTTGCTCACTCTTCCCTAAAAGGTACATACAAAAAGAGTAAAAGGTCCAGCAAAACACCGTACAAAACTACTGGCTTCCCTTCAGATGAGCCCAGCCTCACAGAAACATCTAAGAACAGGGGCCAAGAGGAGTTCCTAGATCAGATCACAGCCTGCCCAGATTGTGCTGCAGCCCTGCTTCGGGTTAGGGCCCAAAGCACAAAGCACTGCTGAGCCAGTTCAGCAGGGCACGCTGCCATCAAGAGCTTCCGTTCGCAGTGATGGACTCCACAACACCAAGAATTCCAAAACTGTGGCTCAGACTTTTAAGAAATATTTAAAATAGGGTAAATACACATTGTTGGCCTGAAAAAAGGTGGAAGGTGGGAGCTTAGCCCCAGCTATCCAAAAACGATAAAGTAAGAGCTTGACATCCCTGACTCCGGAGACCTCTGTCACACAAAACAAGTCACCACAGAGCAGCACCTCTGAAGTCTCTGTGTCAGGAAAGTGTCCACCTGCCAGCGCTGGCAGCTCACTGCACTCATCTCAGAGTGCAGATATGAGCACACCTGCCAGCAGGTGCAAGGCAACTCACCTCTTTGTTGTATGACTTAACAGACTTGCAAGAGTTCACAGGTTTTTGGCCCTCTGGGTTGATATTTAAAAACCCCCAAGCTAGCTCTGAATTCACTTATGTGTAACTTATCACAGATCTGGGTCGGGAGCTTCTGTTTGCTTAAGACTGTGCTAAACGTGGAGGACTCAAAATTCAAGCAAACCATTTTGCTATTGGCACACTCTAAAGCCTTTTGTTATTTTGTTACAGTATATCTTCTTCTAAACAAACTCTATTAGCACAACATCACTGGTGTTTTCTTTAATTAACAGATCAGGAAACTCGAGATTAATGAGCCTCCTGATAGCCTGAACAACCAAATTCTGACTAAATGTTACATAGTGAAGGAGCTACAAGCAACATAAAACCAGATGAGAGATTGTTGTAACTGTTTAAATGGTAAGTTCTGACTTCACTGAACTTTGAGAAAAGTTTCAACTCCCTCAGCTGTAAAAAAAGTTTCATTTCAGCTTTCTTTTTCCAATTTAGAAGCACAGAGATGGGATACCTCTCTCTGAAATGAAGTGAGGTCTGATTTGCTTTTTAAAAAAAGCACCAAGATGCTTTCCTCTAGAAATACTTGTTTACTTGCTGTTAGGAGCACACACAGATACAAGTTAGTACCAGCATCGGTGGCTTTGAGAGGAAAAAAAAAAACCAAAGAAAACAAACCATGACGTCAGACGACGCTCAGGCTGCTGGTTTAAAAGTTTACTTCAAGATTCAGCCATGTGAGCTGTGAGAGCTCAGCAGCCGGACCCCGGAATGAAAACACGGGATCCAGGGCCTGGTTCATCCCGGGCGGTGGAAGCCGCTTCCCCGGGGAGCCCAGGTGGGAGCAGGGCTTCCCCCGCACACCCCCTGCGCCCCGTGTGCACGGCGAGGCCGGAGGCGGCCCCCGGCCCACGGAGGGTCTTGGGGGGGGTGTCACAGAACTCGGCCCAACTCTGGGAAGTTGCCCGGGCGGGGAAGGGGCGGGGGCCGCACTCACCGTTCAGCCGGGTCTGCCGGTTTGCTCGCACCCGCAGGAAGGTCTGCAGAGGGGACACAAAAGCGGAGAAGCGTCAAGGCCCGGGTGTAAACAACTCGCCCCCCGTCCGTACCCAGCCCGGCCCCAACGCCGCCCAACAGCGAAATTCACCCTAGGAACAACGCACGGCCGCGGAGGGCCAACTCCGTTCCCCTCAAGCACACCAACCTAGTTCCGGCCCCGCCCGCCGCGCGCCCCCCTTCCCTTGAAACAACACACGCTCTCGACAATAGTCAGCGGCGCCGCGGGCGGGCGGCGGGCCCGGGATGCGGATGGATGCCCGGGCCGCGGCCGTGCGGGGCGCCGGCCGCCTCAGCCCCAGGCTGGCCGCCGCCTCGATTGAGCCCCGGTCATGTGACCCGCCGCGCGCGGGTGAGAGTTCACCCGGCAGTTCCCATGGCAACCGACAGGGGGCGGCAGCGCCTGGCGAGCCCGGCCAATCAGAGCCCCGGGACGGCCGGGGCCCGGGGGACTGGCCAATCAGCAAACAGGGGTTACTGGAACACAGGGAGGCCTGGCCAATCAAGAATCGGGGGTGACTGGGACCCTGGGTGCCTGGCCAATCAGGAATCAGAAGCCACTGGAGCCCAAAGGGTCATGACTAATCAGAGCCCGGGGGCAGGTGGCGCCCAGGGGCCGTTGGCCAATCAGATCCGGGGAGCAACTTAGAAGCAGCTTCCCTTGTCCAATAGGGATTGAGCGCCCTTCAGGCCCAACATCACTGGCCAATCAGTGCCTGGGCCCCAACTGTAACCCAAAGGCATTGGCCAATCAGGCACCAGGGGCAACACTCTCCAACCTTCCCTGCCCAATCAGGGCCTGGGGGCCCAAGCAGTAATAAAACCCAAAGGCTCACAGCCAATGGGCGCCCAGCGGCCCCTGCCCAGCCCCACCATGGAGCCCAGGGCTGTTCCCAGCCCCTGCCCTGGCTGTGGGAGCAGAGTCCTGGGAAGCAGAGCCTTGTCCTTCCCGGATGTCCCGCAGGCTCAGCGCAGTTGGACACAGACACCAGATGGGTCTACCACTTCCAGGCTGGGCGCCCACCTCAGGTCCAGAGCTCTGAACCCTGCCCGTCCTCCCCACTGCTGTGGGGGCACAGGTGGAGTGCTGCCGCCTCACCCCTGTTTTCCAGCCTCTCCTCATCTTTTCCTTCCCTTTTCAGCAAACCTCAGCGGTCAAACTTGTCTTGTGGATTTCTCTCCCTCATCTGCCCCACAGCTGTGGTGAGAGATGGGGCCAGTAGATGAGCCTGCAGTTGGGACAGAGGTGGGGGCTACAAATTGGGCAGCAGAGGCTCCTACACACACAGATCTCATCTGTTCCCCCCCTCTGAACACTCCCCTTTGCTTCTTGGAATCAAACCTGTGTTTCGGGTCTCTGCTCTGGCACCTGACAATTTGCCGCTCCCTCTTCAGATGGAAAACAAAACCCCCCCGATATGTTTCTCTGTCCCAGGAGCTGATGGGCAGCCAGCCAGGTCGGGTGCTGGCTGGTGATCTTCACCCAGTCCTGACCCACGTCCTATATCCCAGCTCTGCCTGCCCACGGAACTCGCAGTTGGATTTTCATACACGCAAGCACTCACAAATCCAAAGCTGCCAGTTGGTTTTACCCTGTTAATGAATTGAGCTGTCTTTCGGGAATCACGCTCGCTGCTGAGCTGGGGTGACGGAGATGAGCCTTCCCTGGACAAGGATTTTAGGCTTTCAGTTGTGCTACACTTGTTTTTAGTCACAAATATCCCACGGGTTCAGCTGACCCAGGCAAGGGGGTCTCCCTCCAAGCCTGAAATGTCACCTTCGCAAGTACGACGTATTGCTTGTAATTTGCTCTTGATTTTTCCATTGGGTTTTATATTTCCATTCAGAGTTTTATATAAATACTTCTAAATGGCTTTATTTTTACTCGCAGCGCAGGAAAAGCCCTGTCTGACAGAACATAGTGTATTTAGGAGGAGCAGCCACTATGGACCAAATCACAAGGTCCTGCACTACATCGGCTGCCACCACCTTGGTCCAATCAGTGTCCATGTACCAAACTCCAGCAGCCAGGCTTGGCATAGAACTGCCAAGAGGATCCCCCTTCCCGCCATCCAGGAGCCACCTCACTGCCTCCACTGCAGCTCCCTCTCCGCATGTGGAGCAGTGCAAGCAGCCCAAGTGCTCTGCAAGCCCGTGTTCCTGTAGCACTCCTATTTGTAAATCTCCTTCCCTAAATATCCCCATGACATATAAGTATGAAGACTAAAAAAAACGGAGCCGCAGGAATTCTGGAAACATAAATGCCCACAACCCATGTTCTAGTATGTTACTAATATGCTGTATAATCTCGATTAGATCACAAATAACACAGGGGACATTCGTAATTTCAGCACACCTCTACATATAGGAAGCTAAATTTTGCAGCCCTTAAAGGCACCACCATGAGAGTCTTCTGCTCTGCTTCCTGGGCATTTCTCTTGGTAAGCCAGGCAGACTGAATACTCATTCATATTGTGGCTTTATTAAGGATTACATCCTTTACACACTCCTGGCACCCACCCTGAGGTCCTTTGACACTGCCAGCGCAGCATAACGCAGCCAGCACAAGCACAAATGAAAATCAGGCCCCAGAGGTGTTTTCTCCCTGCAGTGCAGACTTACAACTCCCATTACACATTTGCATTAAGGGCTGCAGCCCTCTGTAAAATGCGCTTACAAACTTAAAGCACATTGGAGAGTAGCTGGACTCAGCATACAGAGGGGCTTCTCCTGAGAATATCTGTCCTCCAGAACGACATAATAAAAATGTATAGGAACAGAGGACTGCAAGGGGCCACCAATTTCACAGAGACTCACGTCTGGTGGAGTGGGAAGGGAGGAGTGTTCTCTGACAAAGGGAGCCATGGCAAAAGCCTCTTCCATGCCCTTTCGAAAAGAACGTAATTTATTTATTAGCCTTAATAAACAAGGCAGGAAAGAGAGCAGGATTACCTGAATCAGGCATTTCTGTATCTTCTGCAGGGTTTTGCTCCTCTTACTTTGCACTGAGCCTTATTGTTCACAGGAGGGTAAAGTGGCTGGGATGTGACACCAAGTTATGACTGAAAGCCACACGGGAATACGTAGCAAGCAATGGAGGATCTGGTCCACAATTGATAATATCACCAATAAATAGGACATGATGGAATAACGGGTAACAAATGTACAAATCTGCTACTAACAGGACCTATCTTCAGGAACACCTGTTGTAACTGGGTCTGCTCAGCTAAGAGCCCCAAAAGTGGTCATCAGCCTCCCTCTGCCAAATAAAGACTTGGCACGTGCAAAGTGGCTGATGCAGGAAGATGTGACCACCTGCCTGACCCTGGGCACTGGGTAGGGGTATGCAGAGCACACAGGATGCAGGGTGATGGGTGTTTCTCACGCTGGTACAGCCTTGGCCCACCCAGCCTGTCCACACAGCAGGGTCTGTGCTGATGACCTCCACTAATTTATCTGCTGCCTTTCAGAGCTTATTGAAGCCAGTGGCTGAGCACAGGATTGCAGCCAAACAGTTTGGATGTGAGCCGAGTTAGAGTCAAGTGCACCAGCCTACCCCAAAAATACAGACAGACTTACAACCAGCCAAGGTGTACTTGTGCTGCTGCCTTTCTCTTCTTTTCTTGCTCCATCTCCCTCAATTTTTATTCATTTCATCGCAAGTCAGGACCTGCTGCTCCTCTGGGCAGAGCATTTTATAAAACAAGGTGGTATGGCTGTGGATGATCCAAAACCATTGTTTTGGATGCAAGTCATGAGTCAGTTTGCTGGGCAGTGGCACACCAGTGAAATGGAGAACTTTGGCCTGCTGCAGACTGACATCATTCACTCTTTTTCAAAAAAAAAAGTCACTTCTCTGAAAGTTTCTCAATGGCATGAGGTAATGATAAACATAGCCAGGGAAATTACTGAAATGATGAACATAATGTAACAGAAATCTCTATTTAGATGGTTTTGTACAGCTGTGGTTTCAAGCTGGAGCTGGGATGATCTGCAGACAGAAACACACGCTCACAGCCCTGTGAGGGACCAAGTGCTCATGTCCCCATGCTGCAGGCAGGGAAGGTGGTGCAGTGATGCACAGCCAAGAGCAGAGCTCTCACACAGAGAGCTGTGGGCACTGGGGCGAGCTGGCTCCCTGCCTAAGGCTGAGACCGGCAACGGCATCCACCCGCTTACCTGGTATCTGTCCGAGTGATGGATGTCATCTGAGGAGTGGGGTGACGCTGTCGGAGAGTCTCCTTCCCGCTTGATTGAGGCCGACAACAAAATTGACTGCAAGAGAAAGGAGAAATTCATGCTGTGAGCATTGCCAAGCTCTCTGTCTCCAAGCTGTCCTCAAAGCCACAGAGAGTGTCTGCCAGGCTGTGGGACTGCACTGGGGTGGAATCCTGGGCTGTGGGGATGGCTCTGGTCTTCCCAGTGGACTCTGCCCCACGAGGGAACCAGGCTGCTGGGTCTAGCAGAGTGCAAATGAATCAGGCAACAATGGGATGGTCATTTTTCTCACGAGTCTGGTGGTTGGGGCAGAATCAGTCCCTGCTGGAAATGATACGTGAGGACACCACCAGAAATTCACGTGCTGAGGTGGAGCAGTGCTTCCGTGTCCTTGTCCACCTCTTTTAAGTGCCACTAAATCTCTCAATGGCTTTGTAAACTACACTAAAGCTCTCAGCACCTTTGCAGTGCAACTCCCCTTTCCTTCAGTAATGATGCTATTTATTTTAATAAGTAGCACAGGGAAAAAAAAAAGGGCCTTTTAGAAGGTTAAAAAGCTCAGTGATATTTGAGACCTAAGAAATCACTGATAAACTTCAAGTCAATAGTAGGTAAGTCTAAATTCTACATACAGTGAACTCTAGCAGGAAAATTACTGTGGGAGTTTGACAGCATCTAAAGAAATGTACACTGAGCTGCAAGTGAACTTTATTATTAGAACAGTTCGAGGGAAAAATGCAATTTAAAATTCTAATTTAAATTATAAATTAGCTAAACGAGGCTAAATATAGCCCAGTACATTGTGAAAAAATGTACACTGGAAATGCAGCTCTCCAGATGTTTGTTTCTGAGAATCAGCTGGCAAGATTTGACAATAAATGACTGCTTGGAGATGTGTGTGTTTGTGAAGGGAAGTGTAGATATCATCTGAATTGGACAGGTCAAGTGTGGTGACAACATTATTAAAAAGCATAATACCTTAGAGAAAGGGAAGTATTCCAGAAACATTTGCCTCTGGGCTGAAATGAAATGCGAAAAAATGTGCATTTTTTGGAAAGATATGAGCAAGTGGAAAAATGACTCAGCATACAAATTGGTTCAGTCAGCAGGATGCAATCCCCCAGGCTTGGACAGCTCTCCGGTGAGAAAAGCACAGCAGTGCAGTTGTCACGGACATGGAGGGAAGGCAGGCTGGGATGGAGGTGGAGGAGCGGGATTTGGGATGCTGGGTTCAACCCCATGGGTATGAGCTGTCAGCACTGCAAGAGTCATGAGGGCAAGAGTCATGTCCTGGTGTGCACTGCAGGTCTCTGCCATAAAGCATGGTTCTACCAGCTGTGGAGAGGTGGGATGTCCTGAAAGGGGTCACAGAGGAATTGTCTGCTGGGGTGCTTTGTTATCTCCTCAGGCACAATCCCTTCTGCCAACTGAGGGCTGTGCTGACCACATATTAGAGCTGGCTCGCTCCCCAGCTCACCCCAGGGATGCCAGGCGCTGGGAGGGCCAGTGGGAGCCCGCAGGGCTGGGGGCACCCAGTAAGGGCTGCCTCAAGAGACCAGCCCCCGCTTCCCAGGGGACAGACAGGCAGAGCAGGGGGGCCCTCTGGCTTCATGTGTTGGCTGAACACAACTGCTGATGGATTTTGGTGAACAGCTCACTTATTTCTGGAGAAGCCCACTGTAGAATTTCTGCAGAGTGCAGACCCCAAGCTCCTGCTGCTGTGCAGTTTCTTTATTTTCTAAATGGAGAATGAGGACCATTTTTGAAGAAGAAGGATTACACATGTCCTATCAAATGGAGGGATGGGGCTCAAAGCCTTCAGCTGTGACTCAGAACAACAGCCCTGACTGCAGCAATGGTAATGCCCTTCCCCTCCTCTAATAAGCCAAGCACCCTGGAGCTGGGAGGGTTAAATCTGTTTTGTCTCCCAATGTATTCTAGAGAAGGGGAAAAAATACCCGTCTCCCCATTCCTTGACGACAGACAGACAAACCCTCCCCGCCTCCAGCTCCCCCCTCAGCTTCTGGTAGCTCTAATTCAATATTATTATGTGAAAAATGGTTGGGCTAGCTATGGAGACAGTAAATTAAACGTTATGTATTAGTTTTTAGCGTGTGGTCCCGGGAAGAATGCCGGCCCCATTTATTCCACAAACCTCCTGAGCACCATGGCAATGACCTCTGGAAAAACGCAGGGCTAAACTAATCCCAAAGATGTCAATCTCAAGGCCTCTTCTACATACACTTGCAGTTTAGATTAATAAACTGTCTATTTTTAAATTGTGTGCAAGCACTTCAATTCTAAATACCTCGCCGGCATGTTAAACACAGCGTTAGAGATGCCAAGTCACACTTCCCCTTCACTCTTAGGAAACTTGACTTCATTTGTTTTTCTCATTTCCGTGAGCTGTGCCACACTTTGCCTCTCAGGCAGCCATGGGGGCAGGCAGGGATGCAGGCTCAGAGACTAAGGGATTAGAAAAGGCACTTGCCATCAGGGTGACTTTCAATCTTGCATTAGGCCTCTCTGCCATCCCAATTTTGGCCTCTTTTATCCCAATTGTCACGTTGAGGCTGTTTTCCAATGGCTAAGTGGTGAGGACACCTGACCACAGTATGCCAAGCTAAGGATTTGCTGTCCCCTGCACCCATTCTGCTCATTCCCAGCCGGATTCAGGCAAGCAGAAAAAAGGCAGCAATTCCCATTCCTCTCTCAACCAGGTTCTGGGAAGGTGGTTGTGGAGAAAAAACGTAGCTTTACATGTGCTCTCCCAGCCCTCAGGCATGCCCATGCTGCAGGGTAGACCCAAATTCTGGCATCCCACCCCAAAAACATGGCGCTGGGTGCTCTGTGTGCAGACAGGCAGTGTGCTGTACGGCTCTGTGGAGATGCTCCTAACTTGAGGACCAGCCGCTTCGGCAGGGTGGGAACAAGCCTTGATGCTGAGATGTTCCTTTTCACTTGGGGAAAGGCCTCCAGCCAGCTCGTCTCTGCCTGGGTGCCAGTACATCCCAGCTCCCCTTCAAGGTGTGTCTGAGTGAGGATACCGGGGTGAGAGCACCCTCCTCTCTCCCTGGTCTCCCCTTCACTGTCAAACCATGGCTCCCACCATCAAAGGCAGAGCAAGGGCCTCATGCGAGCGGCGGTGCAGCCTCATATCTCTCCCTCCTCTTTAAATCATCTCTCCATTGGGTAGAGGCACTCTCTGTGGAGGTTATAAACCCTGAGAGGATCAGCCTGAGCATTACACCTGGGGCAAGCTAAATAAAAAAAGGTCACCGGCGCTTTTTAAACATGGACAAAAAAGCAGTAAAATGTGTTTGGAAAAAAAAATCTGGCATTAAATCATGACTTTTTGCCTGGCTTGCCTCATTAAAAGTGGCCTTTTGGAAGGTAAAATTATCATTGTAAGTGATAAGATCTTTAAGAAAATAATTCACGGCTTCTTCACCCTTTAATATGATAGCCGCCACCGGCTAATTTTTTTCTTAATGGCAACGAGGCCATCAATCTTGTCCAAGCCCTGTACTCTCTCCTTCCCCCTGCCCCTCCTGCCATGCTGGGCAGCCATGGCCGTGCTCAGTGATTCCTTCCCACCCTTTGGAGCACAGCTGTGCCGCGCCAAGGAGAAGAGATACATCTGGATGTATGGCTTTACCTGCTTGTGTCCACGGTTCCCGGCAGGGAGCAGGGACCACATAAGCCTTGCTCACACGGCAAGGCTCATGCCCTCGGCTGCTCCCAGCACGCTCCGTGGGCTGTGCAATCCTGCGGCGACGGGCTGCGGTGCCTGCGAGTGTTTCAGCAGCTCACCGCCACCAGGAACAACCCGCGGTTTAAGTATATAAATACAGGGGCAGGTTTGGTATGAGCCAAATGTGCATCATGCAGCCGGTGTGCCAGCTGCTGTGATCCCAGGCCGCCGATCCCCAGACCTGCTCCTCCCTGCCGGGCTGGAGGAGCCGTGGGCAGCTCCGAGGCAATGTCAGCGAGGACACACGTGCCAGCGCGACACCGGCTCCTGACCCACGGGCGCTCCAGGCGTGGGCCGGGGGCAGCACGAGGGGAGGGGACGGGTGTCAGGGTGCAGCCGCCAGCCCGAGGAAATGGATGGAAATTGCCGGCACACGCCGCCCCCAGCCCTAAGCGCTGCCTCTGGCGGGCGGCCGGGGCAGGTGTCAGCGCTGGGAGAGCCCAGCCGGTGGCTCTGACATTCTGCTGCCTCTCAAGGCCAGTCATTTGAGAGTATTAAAGTGCCGGAGTCCTGCTTTCTGATAGCCCTGGAAAAACACAAGGAGTCTATTTTTCTTAAACAATCCATCACTGCTGCTGTCAGCAGAACAAATACCCTAACCCTGCTTTTTATGTATCTATATGGCCTTTTTAAATTTTTTTTTTTTTTTTTTTGGCACAAAGTGTTCCCTGCTTGATGCATTCAGCTTTAACTCTGCCGTCTAAATAGGTACTTATCAGTTAACATGGAGGTGATGGCTTGACATGTTTTCTGTCTCCTGCCCTCCCCTCCACGGTAGGGAAGCCGTCAAAGTGTTGCTAATAGCTGTTATCACTTGGGAACTGTAACCCGAAAGCAATGAGTGATACCAGGCCTTGCTGCGATTTTCTCCCTTAACTCTGCCAGCCATTTTTTATGTTATTGCTGGAGGATCCCCGACACAAAGATGCTGCTATTAGAGCTGAGTTTCATAGAAGCTTTTGGAGGGTCCACATTTGCTACCGGGAAAGTTAGAGGTAAAATTATCTAGTGGCTTTTAGCTGGCAGAGATAAAGGTGGGATGGAGCTAGGAATGAAAGGCTTAAATGTGAGAAGGGTGTGAAAAGGGAACAGAAATAATAGTATCAGCAGCTTTTGGCCTTCGCTGAAAGATTCCAGTGGTTTGCAAGCAGAACAAGCCTATAGAAATGTGAGCTACTGATTTATTTCTGTGCATGTTACAGTGACATCTGGGATTGTAATGGAGCTCTGGGTCCTCTTGGACGAGACACCAGCTACATGGTTCCAGCAGAACTGCCCATCAGCACTCCGGAGATGGAGGGGGAAAGAGGTCTGGCCCAAGTCTGTCGGGGTCTGCCAGCCTGTTCTGCTCCCCTCTACAACCACATCCCTCTCTGCTTCTTCTGCCGAATGCAGTGGTTTCCCCCAGTCTAATGTAAGGGTACAGCTGTTTGGCCCAAGGGGAGTGAGGGGCTTTGTTTGTTCATGGGGTAATTTGCTTTATAGAATAAAACCTGGCAGAGATTTGTTTTTGGAGTGACTCTGGTATTCATCACCCCAAAATGGCAGGGAGCTTGGCCAGCCAACACTCATCCTACGTAATTTCCTCTCCTCTGTGTATCTATGGGTTGTTCTCATATCCCTGGCTTGGCCACAGCTTTGCCACAGTACCCAGATTTAGCTTTTTAATCTTTCCTTGTAAATCACAGTTACAGAGGGAGGGGACACAGATACAGTGAATGACTTCTCCAACCTCTCCAGTGTGTCAGTGACACAGGAGAAGGAGTTAAAACCCTGGGGCCCTGACACCCATTTTCAGTTCCTACCACCAGATGTGATACGGAGAAGTTAAATGATTGTGCTAGAAATTTCATCTCGAGTGAGGCAGCTGGGAAGGGCTTAATACAGACATTCTGTCAAGGTTTAAGGCTCCAAATCTTGCTTGCTTCGAAGCACTTTCTCCTTGGAGGGCTTTAGTGGTCAAATTTCCCACTAGATGCTGTAATTCTCTCTCAAACTGCTCGTTGAAGCTGTAAAATCACGGGGGTGGGTGGGGGAATCAAAGGGCTCTGGCACTGTGGCTTGCTTCCCAGCTCTGCCGGAGGTCTGGGAGCAGTGTGCTGGCCACCTGCCTGCGGGCACCCTCCGTGGAGCTGGGTGCACACCTAAACAAACCAGCCACAAGCATCTGCTGGGTGCATGAGATGGATTTTGTTCGTGGCCACTCACATCAGTGTTTGTTTTCAGCAAGAGCCAGAGCACGAGCTGGACTGCTAGTGGGAAAGGCAATTTGCAGCCATGTATTAGGAAGCAGCAGCGGGAAACGAGTGCTAAACCTGCCGCAGGAGTTGGGATGCTTCATGGAGCCCAGTCTCTTCCCTTTCAGTGGTCAGTATCAGCACTTCCACAGGGGATGTAAGTTTGCCTGTTAGGTGACAGGCAACAGTCTGCAGTTAATACCCTGAAATTTAGGGACTGAGATCTTTCTGGACAGTGATGATACCCCACCTGGACAACAGCCCATGGAGGGAGAGCCACAGGCCACATGGGCAGTAGTGAAGAAGTGCTCTTAGATAGCTAGGAGGACCTGGGGACACTGACTCTCAAAATTCCCACCAGCTGCACAAGGAAGAGTGGGAACAGCTGGTCTGACACCTCATCAGAATGGGTTCAACACAATGTGTGCTCCTCTCCTGCACAACACCTTGCAAGAGGCAGCCAAGGCAAGAGGGGAAAGGCAAGGGGAGAGTGTGAAGTCCAGGAATGATGCCCAGGGGAACTGCACACTGCTGACAGCTACAGACAGACCCCTGGGCAACCAGTCCGAACAGAGCCTGTGGTGTTGTCCATGTGCCTCTGGAGCACATCCCTGCTGCCTGCTCTGCCTGAGCCCCAGCCTCTGGCCATGCTGGGGAGTGCTTCAGGGAAGCTCGGGGCTCACAGAGGTCTGGGGCATAGCTGGCTCGGACAAACCTTCAGAAAGTGTCCTCCTGAGTGACAATCTGCTTGTCCAAGTGTCTTGTCCACACTGGCATATCATCACTGATTGGGCATGGTCTCTAATAGCAAACAAGGATCCCGAGTGCTGAAGAACTTGGTGCTCAGCACTGCCCCCTGAGCTGCCTTTGCAGAGAGGGAGCCTGGGCACCAAGCAGACGTGCTGGCTGGTGCCCCCAGCTCACAGCCCTCGCTTGACCGTCACTGCCTCAGTCGGCTCCGATAATAGAAGAATCTGATACAATAATCCTGCATTCATCACATCCCATGTTGAGTGATTGGATTTTCTTTGACATATTGCCATGAAAATTGACCCGGCGCAGTGAGTGACAGCTCTTCAGGGGCAGGGGAGCAGTGAGCGAGGAACATACATTTACGTCTGGGCTCTTATTGCCAGGAGAGGCATTTGCTGGGGCAACTGTGGGGAAGGGATGGAAGCCAAGCCAGGAGACAGACCATGGGGAGGTTAAATCCCCTGCCCCAGCTGCACCCCAGGAAGATCCTTAGGCCAGCACAGAACTAGTGATGGTAGTGGTGCTATAAGCAAAGGTCCTACATGAACCCTAAAGTGGACTCAATGCCACCGGTGACCACAAAAGTAGTTGCCAGCCTGCACCCTATCCCAGTTCCCATGTCTCTGAGTGAAACCAGCCTGCCCCTGTTTGTTTTGCCAGGTGATGCTCCTGAGGGATGGGAAGGTGCAGCCCCCTCTCCCACTGCTGAGCTGCTGGAGGTGCTGCCCCTTTTGTTGGCATCAGGAGAAGGAATGTACAGGAAACATTGCAGCAGTCCTCATGGTCCTCTCAACCCCTTCTACCAGTGCCCAGGGTAGGAAGTCAGACATGGTACAGGTCCCAGCTCTTCCCAGGTGGTGCCTGCCAGACCTCCAATGATGCCTGGGTGCCTGCACATGGTCTCCAAGCCCACCCTGGGGGTCTGTCCCTCACCCCACTGCCTGGGACCCCTGTTAAGGGTGGCCCAGAGGCCCGGTTTTGTCCCCAGCAGGACTTTCTCAGAAGGACATCACATCTTGATGGGCTACTTGCATCCCACGCTGTAAACATAAAGAGGGCACAAAGGGAAAGAGCAGCCTTCATCTCCCTACCACCCTCCTCCTCAATCTCACCTGGGTACAAAGGAGTCTTTAATACCAAACTCAGGTGAAGGTGACAGCACTGTGCCTTCCCATGCCACACAGGACTTGTCTCCCAGCAAAAGCCACCTAGAAATAATGAATCCTCCTGGGCCGAGAGGCTTTCAAGCTCTCTGAGAAGGGAATGAAAGATTTCCTGATTTCACCCTCTCCCTCCCTGCTCTCCTGGCTTCTTGAAGTTAATGTTCTTAGCCCCAGACGTGACGGGCAAAGGGAAAAGATCCATGTGGTGACAGGGGACGATTGATCTCTTTTACATAGAACGACGCTCCAGTCCCAGTTTAATCCCCCCGCTCAAGGCAAATGGGATTCTTTGTCAATGGAAACTTCAAAAGCCCGGCCCTGCCGCGAGATGGACCTTCTTCTTTATCTGGTCTCTGTCAGTCACTCACTGTGTTTGCCTCCAAACAGCTAATCTGTCTTTCTAGCTGTCCTTCTCCCTCACAGGCGATGTGTTTGGGACCATTGAGTTATCTACACTGAGACCTGACGAGGAGGGAAAGGGAAGACTGCAGAGTCCAGCTGCTTTCATTTTGCTGGTGCCCTTTCCAGCTCCTTCAAGACATGCCAAGGCAGCCTCACACTCCATGGGTTATCAGTGGTGGGTAGGTTTGGGGATTGCTTTCTGCTCTGCTTGTTCTTCATGGAGAAACAGTCAGGTCTCCACTCTGCTCCTAGTCTACCTGGGACAGGTATAGTCACACAGTAGACAAAGGTGTGGAGCACTATGGAGTATCATTGTGATTTCTGTTTTCCCTTAGAGAGTTTGGGAAATTGTTGGGGTTATCTGGGATTCATCCCTACCTTTCAGGAACCTAGGTCAGCATGGTGGCTCCCCCCTGGTGGGGCAGACAAGGTGTTGATGTGCTTGGCAAGACATCCAGCCCCAAGGGGAAAACCTGGAGCTGAAACGTCAGTCTTTGTTTCTGACATCACATGCCAAAATATGACCATAAGCTTCCAGAAAAAACAAGGGAGAATGAGACCTGAAGTTGATTCTAGTAAAACAAGCATGAAGACAGCTCCCATGAGAGACGCCCTGCACTTGTCTGGAAGCGGGGAGTCTCCCTTGCTTGGACTGTGCCACCAGAAGCATAGGAGAGCCTGGAGCACTTGCCTTTGCCCCCCTTGGGGAGCACAGCATGGTTTTCAGAGGCTGTGCAATGCCCAGCTGCCCCTGCAGTGCTCCCTGCTGCCCACTTGCCTGCCCAAGCTCCAGTCCCTCCCACTGCCGTGTCACATGAAGTCCAGCCAACAGTAATACCAATCAGTAAAAAGTGCTCTGCGCACATTGTATTTCTGCATTCTGAGCCAAGGGGGTGGAAGGTGGGTCCTGGGGAGGGGTATGTGGCTGAGACGGGGTCTTTTAGTGATCTGGGCTCCTCCTCGGGTGTGCTTTGCTCCTCTGAGGCAGGCCCAGTCCACTCTTCCAAAGCTGGCATATGGCTCTGGCTCCTGCAACTCCCATACGTGATTTCCCAGGCTGAGCTCAGCCTGCGTGTGATCAGCTTTCATTAGCTGTCATTAGACACAATCTGGAGTCCCAGAGCCCGCGGGGTCCTTCAGCTCCACCATCCCTTGGCTGCAGGAGAGGAGGATCACAGAGCCCTGTGCAGGGACTTGGATGTTTCAGCCCAGCAGCTGAATGGGGACAGCAGCTTTCCCCAGTGCTGGCTGGCCCCAAAGCGTGGCTACCTTCCTGGGAGACATTGAGTAGCAGGACACGAAGCTGGCTGGGAAGATGAGGGGGTGTAAAGAGCATTCCTTGGGGGGAAGAATGCTGAGTTGTGCTCACTTACCTTGGGGGTGCCCGCTGCCATGGCATCCTTCAGGATGGAGCTCTTGCTGCCAAGAGAGAAGACAATGGGGTCAGAATCACAAAACTGGTGGGCAAGGAGGGGAGTGCTTTGAGGGATCTCACAAGGTCAAATAGTAAAGCACATCGTTCCTCTTCACTGGACCAACGAGAGCCTCCTCACCCTGACTGGAGTGGCATGGTAAGGAGGGCAGTGCCAACTATTTCTGCAGCTGGAATAAAATGGCCCTGTGAGTGGAACTCCCCCAACCCAGCCACATGAATCAAATACTGACTCTTCCCCTCCTCGGGGCTTGCACAGCTCCTCTCTCAGCCCTGGGGAAAAGCGAGGAGCACATCTGCAGGGACATAAGGAAGAAAGCCAGGGAGTGGGGAGTGGAGGTGGTGAGCCCTGTGTAGGGTCAGGAACAATGGGAAAAAGGAGGGAAGGAAAGAGAAGAGGATTAAATCAGCATAAGAGCAAGAGAAAGAAGATCCCCTCAGCTTCAGCTGCACTGGGGAAGCAGCAGCTCTGCTGGAGGCTGGAGTGATTTGTTAATTCAGCTTGTTCCCCATTTAGCAGGGAAGGAGGTCCCTGCCACAGTGCTCCTCCTCGCCTGCCCTCGCCAGCGGGAGATGCTATAGATTTAATAACACCTTCCCCCCTCCAGACAGGTTAAACTTGAAACAATTACATATCAAAGCCGACATGGCGGGGAGGCCTGCACTGTAATTTTTTGGTTATTAAAGTAATCTCTCTCATGTAAATTCTCCTGCTAACATGCTGCAAACAGCATTAGGAAATAAATTATTTCCCCATGATTCGATTTGTCAATGCAAAGCACCTGCAGCAGGCAAAAGGCTCTTGAAATATGTTGCCAAGCCCAGTGCCTGTGCTTGTAAGCACACGCCGGTGGGGTGGCTGGCTCCCAGCTCCCCATAGCCCCAGGGAGATGATGGATGGGTGGGTGGGTGGAGGGGGAGGTTAGCGGGGGGGAGGCGGAGGTTGGGGAAGGGGGGGGAATGGAATTGTGTTTAATAACAAAATTTGTATGCAAGCCTGCATCCCAGGCTAAGGATGAGTGATCGGCAGCCAGAAAGTATTAAAAAGCCTCGCTAAACAGATGCTGACAATAGAACAAGACATATCAAATCAGATCTACTTCAGAAGCATTAATATACACACGCACACACGCTCGCCCGCGCGCGCGCACCCAGCTCCGCACACCCGCGCTCCTTTCTTCTCAATCACAGCAATATGGGAGACATCAATAAATTTTTATGAGACTTTTAGAAGATCAACACGGTACTAGATGTGACAAAAAAGCAATGTGCCTGTCATGTTCGCTTTGTCGGGGACACTTTAGCCCCAGATGCCGAGCTGCAGTGCCAGCAGGGAGAAATTGAATTTGGCTGGCTTTAATCTGCCTTGATTTGGCAGATGGCTGGGTGTTATGAAATGAGCAGGGATGGAGGAAGGTGTTTTCTCCTGGGGCTATGGCCCCCCTCCTCTCCCATTGCCACTGCCTTCCGCCCCCAGCCCTGAAACGGTGGAAATACACAGTTATCCACTGCCATCAGGTCACCCCAAATGCCACAGCTCCACTCCCAGCTACAGTTTCTGGAGACCACCAATGGATGGGCTGGGGCATCATCTCCCACACAGCCCCACTTTCCTGAGGGGATGTGCTGCTGGATGCTCACTGGGGGGGGTACAGGATGCCCCCGGGGCCTGTCCCCCAACTCTGCCCCCTGCTCTCAGGAGACAGCACAGAGCAGAATTAAGTCTCTGCTGCCCACTGAGATGCAGACCTTGCACCATCTCCAGCCTGTACAAGAACAAGCATGATGGGAAAGATTTCCATTCCCTCTACATCTCCACCATTACCTTGAACTTCTCAGTCGCACAAAGTGTGAAACAACTTTTATAATCCAAATGCCATGTTAAAAAAGCAAACTCATTTCCTGTCTTTTCTTGTTAAAGGTGTTTAAAATCATTTCTTTTTAAGGGGAAGGGGAAGAATATCATTAAGTCCTCCTAAAAACGGCATTACCGCCAGGAAACTGCAGTTTTCAGAGTGAGAGTCTCTCTGGTCAGCCAAAACACCAAGCCTCTGCTTGGGACCGATAAGGAAGGGGACCGGTTTAGATAACTTGGCAGACTTTATTTTATTCTTCATCTGGAGGATTATGAATACCCCCACCCTCCTTTTTGCAATGTAGCCCTACTCTATCGCTAGACTCTTCAAGTTGTTTTTATTTATTTCCAGAGATAGGTCAGAAATGGGTGCAAGCCCTGGTCATCCAAGCACCTAGATCCTGCAATTTAATGGTGCTTTTCTCCATCCTGTTAAACAGCCCCCGAATTACAAGGGCTGCAGCCCCCCACGCCTCTTAAGGATGCTGGCAGCAGGCTGAGGATCGAAAGGCCGTCAGCAAAGAGAAACCTTCCCCTCCATAAACACCGCAGACAAATTAAAAATGGTAAAAGGGAAATCAAGACCTTTAAAGTTCAAACACTTTTCGGTGCCTTTTAAAGTTTTTTCGCTCTAGGCCCTTGCAGACAGCACAATCTTTGGAGACCTTGGGATTCTCTTTAATCACCCAGCCAGGCTGCAGTGGTCTGAAATGATTACACATTTACATAGTAATAACCCCAACACTCCTCACATTATTTCATGGCTAGCATATTTCCACTCGGCGAGTGATCCATGTGTTTTAAATTATAACCTGTACATAGGAAATTAGTTACTAAGTACGATATTCACGGGCTCGTCTGACACTTCTAATTAAGGTGATTTACACAGAATTATCTTATGAAATAAAAAAATGGTGTTTTGCTAGCTAATAAAATATAATTACTACCCGCTTTTCTAAGTTACAGTTAGTTTTAATCTATTTGGGGAATTGTTTATCTAGTTCATTACAGCCAAACAACTTCTTTCCCTTTTAGGCAACCCCCCCAAAGTACCAAAGAAGAGTAAGAAATGCCCTGGGAAGACCCAGCAACCTCCTTCTCTCTCTCTTGAAGACTTTGCATTTCCAAGTGATGCAAGGCTGCCAGCTGCATCACCCATTAACAGAAGCAGCACAGCCAGGTCTCCACGTGCCCCAGGGTGCTTGCTGGGGACCCATCACTCCTCTGTGTTAGGGCCCAACATCTTTAAGAGGAGCATTTACTCTCAACAAGGCCTTTCACAATGAAAGCAAGACTCAGGCTACACCACAGACGAGCAGATGTCCGTTAATGCTAAGCATAGATTTGGTTAGGAGCATCCCCAGGTACAACTGGGAATCCCCTGGTATGTCCCTGATTGAGCCCCAAGGGGCCGTTCAGATCCAGTGCTTCAATAGTAATATCCCAAAGGGCAGCTCAGCAAGCCAAACATGTGCCTTCCTTACCCACAGTCTTGGGATTTCCTGTATCCCTGCCATGGTTACTATGACCTTCAAGTCTATTTATTTTGTTATGGTCCTGCCTTTTGGGGTGTGCTTGCCATAGGGAAATAAAATAGGCAATAAGCAAGGAGTGGTCCCTCATCATCCCCATGCTGCTCCTTCCCACAGGGAAAACCCAGGGCATGAGCTGAAGGTTCAGTGATCTGATCGTGTTTTACCACGAGCAAGGTGGTACTTTTCCTTTAAGCTTTTGCTCTTGCGAGCCGTTTTAGGAATCTCAGCTTTCCTCCAAAAGAAGAGAGAAGTTTTCTGGGTGCCCAAGTCAGGCAACAAGCAGAAGGCCAGTTCCCCATGGGAGATGGCTCATCAGCTTCCAGCAGAGAACATGACCCAGGGTGTGCTTCTGGTGTCCTCAGCCCACCACACACAGGCAGGGTTCTTGCTGACCCCCCCAGCCCAGGCAGCTCTGGCAGATCCAGGGAAGCAGGATCAGGAGCTTTCCTCCCCTGCACACACCTCAGTGCACACACTGACTGTGCCAGCACCGGGGCATCACTGCAGCATCCTGGAGCAAGGGCAGGGAGGCTCTGCTGCAATTGTAGCTACAGCTTGAGTGAGGAGACAGAGAGAGAAAGAAACGTTCTCAGAGAAGAAATCTGAGTACAGAGCAGTGATGGGACTTGCCTGAAGTCTCAGTGCAGCAACAATAAAGCCTAAAACACCTCTGATGATGTGCTCCAGCCCATCACAGCTGCCTGGGCTCCCCAAGCATCTTCAAACAAGATTTCTGCAGAGTCCCCACCTAAAGCAAGGCAGGATTTATGATGGGCATCTCTCAATGAAGGGCTGAGCTCCAGACCTGGAATGGCAGCATTCCCCACATATAATTAATAACAACTGCAAAGAGAAGAAGTTCCTTGAGCTCGGGCAGCTACAGCTGTTTGTGCTCATCCCTGAAGGACAGTAAGGAGCAGCTAAGAGGACTGCTGCTGTGCCAGCTGGAGTCCTCCAGCTCTGCAACTCTTCCACAGAATCAGTCTCAGCAGCCCCTTGCTTGACAGGCACCAGCCACATCCAGCTCCCACATGAGATCCTGCAAAACCAAAAGATTTCTACAGGCTGCAGCTGATAGATGTATTTAAAAAAAAAAATAAAAGAAATCCAGCAGAAACTTTATTTTTAGCTGCAGGACTTGTGGGTTGAACATGCAGCCTTGGGATGGGAACCCTGGCAGCAGAGCAAGCCTCTAGCATAGCTGTGTGGATGGCAAGGCCAGCTGTAGGGAAGCAGTTTTTGGGTAGAGAGGGAATTGGATTTTTGTGAACACCAGTTTAAACAGGAGGAAGTGTCTTCTGAAGCCTAAATAAGGAAATAGGAGTTTGATTTTTTTTTTTTAAAGCTACACTTTGCTGCAAGTGACAGTGCCCAGCATGGCCAGGTGAGATCTGTGCCTGGGAAACTGGATTTTTAACCTGTTGTGGCTCCTCCAGCATCACCTGCATCCCGTGATGGGGAAAGGGGTGAAGTGATGGTAAAAAATTACCAGAGAAGCTGCAGTCAGGACTAGAAACACTCTGCACATACAGTGCCAGACATGCTTCCCAAATGCTCCCCCAGTCAGTATTTGTGAGACCTCAGTGTCCAACATGGT